CGGCCCGGTCCGGCGTCGCCGCGGCCCTCGAGGCTGCCCGGGCCCTCAGCCCCGCACCCGCGTCTCGGCCGCGGCTGACCTGCCTGGGACGCCCCGCGCTCTAGAACGCCCCGTGGCTCCCAGTTCTCAGAATAACGCCTGACACGCGGGAACACGGAGACGGACACCTGACGAGCCGGGGGGCAGACCTGGGGCAGTGCCCACGAGCTTAGGGATGCTCGGGCGTGAACGTGCCCAAGTCGGAGAACCGTGTTCCCGGTGCGGGGGGGACAGCGCTGCAGAGCGAGGGCGCGAGGATGGCCGTGACCGGTATCAGTCCTCCCCAGAGGAAATGCCAACGGAGAGCTGAGGCCGGAGGAGGGCGGCCAGGGGCAGGTCTGGAGCGACAGGGAGTCCAGGGCGAGGCGGCCCGCGCGAGGCGAAGCCGGAACCCTGTCCTTCGTCACAGACGCGTGGAAACACGCAGCCGTGGCGCCCAGCGTGGGTGCGTGGAGTCGCCGTGTGCCGCGGGACCTCTCCACGCTGCGGGGGCGGAACGGGAGGAACGATGAGTTAGGAATTCCTGCCGTCACTGCTCGGGCAAACAATGAAACAATGGAAACACGGCGGTCACATTTATCCAGGTTATTAGAAGGGGAAATAGATGGAGAAAGCCAAGCAAACAATCCGGGAGCTGGCCAGCCCCGAGCGGGACGGGCGGTGGATACAAATGCAAATGTCCTGTAATTCAACAGCTGCCAGCGGATTAAACGCCGCAGTTGGGACACAAAGATGAGTTCGCCCCGCGTGAGACCCGGGGAAGCGCAATTTGCAAGAGACATCCCCGAGAGGCACTAGCAGGTCCGCCTGGCTGGATGGCGGAAGCACCATGCAAATGCTAACAGAGGGGGCTGGGGCGGGCGTCCTAGGAGTCGGGAAGCGGCGTCGGGAGCCGCGGGCGAGGTCACTTCCGACGGCCGAACTTCCCTGTTACCGGAAAGTCCACCGTTTCAGGTCTGAACGCAAGCTGTGGGGTCGGCACTGCCGAGAAACTCGGAGAGGCCGGCACGCCCCGGTGACGGGGGGGGGGGGGTGCCCGAACACAGCTGCCTGGAATTGGAAGAATAAACAAGATAGCTCCGCGGGTTGGCAACACGATTAGTAAACTTGACTTTGTCCAGCGCTGCCTCCGACGGCGGGCGCAGACACACTGAGCGGTTGGTCACCCAGGCGCCGTCCCCAACGCCTGCAGCAGTGGGACTGCGTTCTGTGACCACAGCTCATAGAAGTGAGAGAGAGAGAGAGAGGGAGAGAGAACCCGCGCAGTTCCCGACGTGTGGGAAGAAGCGGTGCATTGCTAAATAACTGGTGGAGTTTTTAAAAACTCCTAATGGCAGTTGTAAAGTGTTTACCCGGGTGTGACTGGAAATGTGTTGAGGGTGGTGGGGGAGAGCTACAGCCCCGCGGAGAGGTGCGGGTGTGGAGTCGGGCTCAGAAGAGAGAAAGCACCCATTGCTAGGAGCTAGCAAAGAGAACGAAGTAACCGAAGGCCCCCTTGAAGTGAGACAGTGGAGCGGCAACAGCAAACTGATTTATGTAAAGATAGCGGGATTGACAGCGCTTGGTGAAACTGATCCAAAACCAGACAGCCATGATCAGGAATGCACAGGTAAAGAATCTGTAGACCTTTAACAAAGGGGAGGAAAAGATAGGATTTTATGAATTAAATTTATTACACTAGCTTGTAAATATAGTTGAAATGGGCAAATTTCTCGGAAAATGTAAGTTACAGGGCCGGCGCTGTGGGGTAGTGGGTAAAGTGCTGCCTGCAGCGCGGGCATCCCATATGGGTCTCAGCTGCCCCACTTCCGATCCAGCTCCCCACTGATGGCCTGCGAAAGCAGTAAACAATGACCCAAGTCCCTGGACCCCTGCCGCTGCTTGGGAGATCCGGAAGAAGCTCCTGGCTCTGGCCATTGCAGCCAACTAGAGAGTGAACCAGCAGATGGAAGACCTCTCTTTCTCTCTCTTTCTCCCTCCCTCCCTCCCTCCGTCTGCCTCTCTGTAACTCTGCCTTTCAAATAAATAATATTTTTTAAAAGAGAAAGAAAAAGGAAAGGAAAAAGAAAAAGTAAAATACCAGTGTGGTCAAGGTGAAAAAATGAAACCCTGAATGAGCACCGTCCCTGGTCGTAGCGCCCAGGAATTTAACAATGACTGCATGCCCAGCAGAGCCAGAGGCTCCCGGATATCTTCTCAAGTGGCCTCTGCAGGGCTGGGGGTTCTGGGACAGCCCTGGAAGAGTGGCTGTGCAGTGGGGGTGCCCAGGCGGGTGAGACCAGTTCCGTACTTTGTCCACCTGAAGTCCTCGGGAGCCAGCTGCCATCAGACCTGCCCCGCTCCTTAGAAGAACCGTTCCCCTGGAGAAACTCAGACCACGCAGCGGCTCCTGTCAGTTATTCAACTCCAGGTGCATCCCAGCATTTCCACGTGATAGACACAGGGAATACTTCCCAATTGTTTTCATGACAAGGAAGAAAAAAATATGATAGGCCAATGTTGCTCATAAATACAGACACAAAAAATCCTCAACCAAGTATTAGCAGCCCAATCTGGCAGCATGGAAAAATTGCAATAATTATAATAAGTGTGGGTCTTGCCAGAAATGCAAGGTTGGTTTAACTGGCAATCAGCGTAATTCACCACCTTAAAATGTTAAGGGGGAAGGCTTGGGATTGATCATCTCACCAGATGCAGGGAGTTCAACGGGTATTTATGTTTAGGGATAGGAGAGACTGTTTCTATCGGTAGAGTTGATCACAGCGCCTTTCCTGAATAATGCTGGCATG